GCCTTTTCGCTTCATCCCCTAGTGACATATATTCAAGCGCCTCGGGCGCTGATTTAGCAGCGTTTGTGGCTTGCGCTAAGCTGGGCGACGGCTGGGCAGAGTGGGGGACTTGACTGCCACCGCCAGCTCTGAAACTGACGGTCCAGACGGGCAGTGGTCTTGCTAGCCGCCATCTTGCTTTTTCTTTTCTTCCCGGTGCTTTCTCAGGCGGCTTCACCGGAGGGCAAGATGATCGACGGCTTCTAAAGCCCTTCTCTCGCCTCACTTTTCTTTTTTTCCTTGCTTCACCGGTCTTCGCCGATGAGGCTGTTGCATGCCTCTTCCCATAGTAGCGCGAGGGATAGCCGGGGGCGCCAACGTCAATGCAGCTACGCTTCCCTCCCATGGAATAAAAACTACTGCATGCCTTTTAAAAAAAAGCCGTGCGCGTTGGCCCAGGCTCAACTGCCCGCCACCACATGTAACCGTCGCCATCTTCCCTGTTGACGTGGACGCGATGAACCAGAGGAACCCGAGCCAGCCGAAAGAAAAGAGAAAAAAAAGGCCCATCTCCGGATCCACGCGGCCGCACGTTTACACTCTCGCCAAACAAACAAGATTCGAGCGACCCGATGGTTGCCTAGGGGAGGTTTAGTTAGAGTTAATGTGACGGTTCGAAACGAGCAACTCTATTCGTTTCTTTGCTAAGGCTTACACATCATAGCGTAACATTTTTCTGTTCTCCATCGTCTGTTTCCTCTCGGTACGAACGATTGGCTTTTTGTTTTAGCACATGCCCTTTTTTGTTCGTTTGCACTACGCGGAATAACACACAGGCCGCCCAGGCACGGAATGCGAGCCTGGGTGCGGAGCCCCAACCCCGCGCGGCCAATGGTGTTACACGTAGGCCTATAGCGGCTTGCCTCTTATCGCCGGTCAACTTCCTGTTCTGGGAGTGCGCCGCCATGCTGGCCATATCGTTTCCGGCCCGACTTGGACACATGTTAACATCCTTTTGTCCGTCGAAAACAACTCCAGAAGGCCGTCCTCGGCCCGCACGTGGGAATGCTTCCCAGTTCCCACGTCTACAACCCGCCCCCCCGCGTCTTGTTATTTTAATTCTTTCGTTTCTTTCAGGGGACCCCCTTCTGCCCACCCTTGGCATCGGAGGCGGGAGGCGCGGGTGGGCGGCAGTGTTACGGTGGATCGAAAAAGGGCAGCCCAAAGTTTCTGCTTCGCTGGCTGTGGTCTCCTCTTCGACCTTGGATTTGATTGTGCCCATTTATCCAAGGAGAGGAGGTGGAATGGTCTGTCCCATCCTTCCACTGCCACCCGTCCTAAATGCAATATCCCAAATACCATCCTGCGCCTGACTCTTGCGTGGATCGATCTTGAAGCTATTTTGGACTGAAGGAATCGATCCCATCCTCCAGATTGGCCTGGACGGTGGGTCCCCGACAAGCCTTGGCAACCCCGAATCGAAGATTGCCACGCTCAATGCCACTTCCCTAGCCCCTACCTATGTTGTCTCCTAACCCCCGGCCTGCCTTTTCCAGCGTGATGACTCCTCTTGCGCCCACGGTAGGCGGCAGAGGGTCGGTCGGCTTCGTAGCGAAATGTTTTGGCCAACGGACTTCTTTCTGTAACAAGGTGCCTATCGGCGGCGGGGGTTTCTGTCTACCGAGACCGGCCGGGCCCACCGTGGCTCAACTCGCCTGCTACCGAAGAGAGTCTCGACAGGAATCCTTCTCGCCATGCAATGGCTAGGTGGGCACCTGGGGAAGAGCTCGAGAGCTCCGCTGTCTGGCTACATCCAGCATGCGACTCACTCACACGAGGTCCATGCTGGGAGGTTGCAGCTGCCCAGCTGCACGCCAGAGAATGCGTTCATGCAACTGCAGGGACTGTCCAGACGTGACGAGGCCGAAGCGAGGAGCAATCTTTAGCTTTTCCTGTCTTCTTTTTTTTTTTTTTGCAGAAAAATGGCTCACCAACATCGCGTGTGCGCTGCTCTCCCCTTTTTGACGGATGAGTTTATCCATGGCCGGATGGAGGGAGTGGGCTTCTTTGCTCGACCTTACTAGCTATTCCTCATATGGACACAATAGTGGGTGGCCCTGGGCCAAGCGGGTGGGAGGAAAAAAAAAAATGGGACACACTGTCTGCACGGGAGCGGATCCCAGCCTAGGGCCTTGTTCTCTCCTACTTCTTTTTCCACTTCCATGGGTTATCCCTCTTATCAGAGCTGGGGGGAGAGATACTATTATCGCTCCTTTCGGTCGACCGACCGGATTGGAAGCAGGCCGGTGTGGTGCACCAGTCACGTTGCACTCGCGAACTAGCGACTCCAGACTGTGGAGTAGTGGGAACCTGAGGAGAACATGGAAAAAGCAAAGACGCGTGGGGTGCAAAGCCATCAGGGCCCACCGCGCAAGGCACCGGTTAGCTCTGTTGGCGGCGAACGGGAAAGGATCAGCGAGAATGGGCAAGAGGTAGGCAGGCGTGGCCGTCTTGTCTGTCACACCGCCGCCGCAGTGAGAGAGGCACAGTGAGGCCAGGGGATGGATGTCATCCTGCCGGGAAGTGCCTCGATCGGGAGGACCGGGACAGAGAGGCGGGATTTTTGTCAGGTCCAAAGGCCAGAGGCTCGAGATGGGAGCCCAATGAGCGTCCAGGATCTCGGTGCTAAGGGATGACGCGATGGTGGAAGGAAGTCGAGACGCCGGCAATTGGGGCCGATGTCCCACCAACACCATCGTTGGAGCGAGGGGCAGAGAAAGCAAATAACAGAGCCGGCTGTATTAGTTATTGGAAGTTGGGCAAGAAAGCCCAACCCCTCATCATATCAACTCGCCGAGGACCATCATACCCACACTCTTACTCCTTAATCTTCCACATCTTCTCGCACACAAACGTCAACTGCGTAAAGAAACAACTTCTCTCGCCAGATGCTCAAAATCATCAGCTCCAGATGGAGGGCCAAAAAGACACAAATAACAAAAGCAAGACGAGGCTGACGAAGCCAGTCGTCAACATGCCGCCAAGCCCCAAAAACTGCCACCGAGGAGGGGAAGCTTCCCGATTTGGAAATTTGCCAGGGCAGTTTGTATGTCAGTGGCGCAACGGTAATTCGTGGGTTCCTGGATTTTCCCGGCGGCCATCAAGTGAAATTGATGGGAATTGTGAGCTAAACCGCAACTGCCCAATCGCCCGAATCTCTCTCAATCTTGCATGCCCACCTCCGGGACCAACCTCGCTCCTCGTTGGCCAACACCGCGCTAGGCTGGATACAGTTTGGGAGGGGAAACGGCACGGAGATTTGTCCGCTTCACTCGTCTCGCCCGTTCCTTCTTCGTCTTCCTTTTCCGATTTCCCCTCCTTGCCCTATACTTGGGAGGGAATAAGCAAAATGGCCAAACGGGTCCATCGTCACTCACGTGGTATCGTGCGGCCCCCCATCGCAGCTGGCGACTGCGAGACGATGCGGATAACTGCTTTGGGCGGCTTTTTCGACCTCTAACATCATGGCATGCAGCCTCACCCACTCGGCTCCTCAGCTTCCGCCCGCTAGTAGGACCCGTACCAAGCTTCTTTGTAATCCACGACGGGTAGCCAAAGCTGGTTGGCCGGTTTCCATGACGAAAATCTGACAGCGCGTTTTGCCGTCATTGGCTGCCGTGTTTTTTTCTTCTTCTTTTTTCTGGTACGGCAATGTGGCCGGTGTGACCCTGTGAGATGCAGGCCAGGTCGTGTTCTCTGCGCTGAGCGATGCGATGCTGGGGGGGGGGCATTGTCTGACTGGCCCATTTTCAACAGTCCAGGCCCAGTCGAGCTGCCAAAAGGCCACGGCCAGACGAAACGTCGACTGTTGAGGGCTTTCAGCGCTCGCCGATCTTGCTTCCCTTTTGGCAAAGAGAGAGAAAAAGCCCGCTTGGCCCCGCCTAGGCAAGCCAAGGTCCCATATCACCTTGCCGGGTATAGAATCCATCACGTCGAATTTTGCTTCCACATCCATGCAGGGGGCCGAACCTCACAGACGTCTCGGCCCACGGCTGGCAGAGAGGGAGGGGGGGGGAAGAAGGCGCGTCTTTCACGTCTCCCCTGGGCGCGCTGGTGGCGCATCCATCACAGGCCCTAAAGGTGTGCTCCCTACGGGTCCACCCTAGTGCGGTGGATGCAAAATACATTTTCTTCCTCAAAAAACCAAGCCAAATTGATGTACCACCAGGATCCACCGTACTAAGGTTTCTGATCCCTGGGACCTGTACACGCCACCACTAGGTTACTCGCCCACCACATCCAGCCGCTCAACATCGTCCTGCCCTCCATGTGATGCCTACCGTCCTTGTTCCCATCAGCGAGGGGTTGCCTTTCGCCGTTGGCAATCATCACCTTGGCGAGATAAGATCAGCAGTGATGAACGGCTGTGCAATCTCCCCCAACTTTCCGAATTGGGAACAAATCTTCAGAAAAAAAACTAAACTGCGGTTCGTTTCTGCACACACAGCGCGCAGGACAAGGCAAGGATCCCAGCCCTTCTCCTCCTGCAGCCCCGTCTGTTCCCACGGGTGGGCACAGACGCAGATGCACGTGCAGGCATCATGGAAGCAAACGGCCAGCCACCGACGCGCTGGTGCCTCTTTGTGTGTGTGTGTGTGTGTTTATGCGTGCGTACGTGCGTGCCCACCCTTCGAGAAGCCTCGCTGGGCTTTTTCCGTCGTCTGTGTGTCCTCGCTTGGAGGACCTGCAGCAAGATGCCGCACACGCACACACACACACACACAGGAAGCGAGCACACCATGCACACCTACACAGTACCTCCAGCCTACCCCATAAGCACCCGCCCCTCCCTCTCGTCAGCAGCTGCAGGAGTTGAGGGGAGCGCTACCACCCGGCGGCCGGCCGCGAGCCTTTTACTGGCCAATCCACTTCGGTTCCAGCCCGTTCTCATTGGGCCGCAGCAGGTCCCACATTCTCTCTCTGCGTCTTTGGCCCTGCATTAGCGTCTTGTGAATGGGACAAGGACGTGGGAGCTCTTACGACTTTTTTCTTTTTTTCTTTTTCTGTGTGACGCGTTGAGCGGGCTAGGTTGTGTGCTTATCGCCCAACACTCCAAAAGGCACAGGATGCTTCCTTTGCAACCGCCGCCCCTCTCATCCGCAAGGTCTACTCGTTTGTGGCATGTTTCGTCGTTCGCTCCTGCCCTGCAAGGTCGCGTGGCGCTCGCATATGGACGGCCTTGTTCCGCTATTGTCCTCCCACCATGATAGAGCCATGTGGATATGCCCACAGTTTCCGTCGTGTAAAAAGATAGGCCGACGGGCTCGGCGTCGGCGCTGGGCCTGGGGGTGATTTCGCCTGTGCCTGCCGGTGGGGTTGCGTCGTCGTGTGGGTTCAGCGCTGGGGGGCAGAGAGGTAGGGAGCTGTCTGGATTGGATCGTCGTTGATCAAGGTCTATTCGAGGCAAAGACGCGGGACGCAGGTTGACTCCTTTCAGTCCCTCATCGAGCTCCAAGTGCCCGGTTCCGGCCGATGAGCGACGCTAGACACTCATTAGAGGCGCTCGTCAGAGGCACTCGGTTCGTGGCACGACCCTAATCATTGTGGAGTTGGCCCCTCTGAATGCACATGCGGCCTGTTTTCTACAGCACTTGTCTGCCTTCCCCCTTTGCCTTGTTTTGTTTTGATCCCAACAAGGAACAGCCCGCTCCACCATCCCCACGTCCCCAGCACCGCTTCTATCTCCGAGGTTGCAATGGGCTGTGTCTGGTAATCGATTGCAACCATGGGCTCCGTCGCAGTGCCGATGTTCGGTCGCATCGCCTGGGAGGAGAATGGCGTGGCGCTTGCTCCCCCTGGGAGGAGAGGGTGCATCGGGCACATGCAAAGTCGACAAAGGAGAGCATTGTGCATCATGGGAGAGGCTTGGGGCGTCGCATCCGGGGATGGGGACCTAAAGGGTTCCGGGCCAGTCGGCGCCCCGTCGGGCCCTTGGCTCTCGCTTGCCCGCACAAAGGGCCTGCTGCAGTCCTGCGTTACGGGGAGAGGGAGGACACGGCCTCGGGGGTGCCCACCGGACGACAATAGAGGCAGACCCAGCGGCGAATGGCAGCACCAGGCGACCCGCATTCGGGGAGACAGATGAGGGTTCTGTATAACCTGGGCCCTGTACAACCTGGGTTCTGTATAGACTTGAAACAGCACTACAGCTTCCATTTTCGTGTCATGAGCCGTCTAGACGAGAATACGTCGCCACGACGACGACGGGTGGTGACACGACGCGCGGTCAGCCTCAATAGTCTAAAAAAAAAACTAACCAAAAAAAAAACACCTCACGATGACGGGATGCCACAGCGAGCAAATTGAGGCATATTGCCGTCTCACACGTCACAGGCTTTGCGCTTGTGCCTGTGGAGGGGCTACCTGCATGGGCCACACTAAGAGACCTCGCCGGAAGCTGAACTTCAGCTACGCGCGGGACGCGGCGGCCAAGCTGGCCAAGCTGGCCAAGCGGGAGGTTGCATATCACACTGACCTTCGCGGCAAGGTCCGCTTATCCCCTGAGGTTGGGGCTCCAAACGGCC